TCATCCTCAAGCCGAGGCATGGTTATGTCCCCAAGGCAATGGGCACGCCCTTTAGAGCGCAGATCATCTCCCTATCGGCTCTGCCAGCATCCGATAGCGATGACAGTGATAATCTCCTTTGACCCGTCAGGGCGCTGAGATCCTATATCACGCGCTCCGCTGCCTTCAGGCGCTCTGAGCAGCTCTTTGTTTCGTTCGGTGGGCGCACTAAAGGTCTCGCTACCTCGAAACATAGTCTGTCCAGATGGATAGTGGACGCTATTGCCTGAGCGTCTAAACACCTGCAGTGCCCAGTGGGCATCAGGGCTCACTCCCTGAGGTATGGCCTCGTCGTGGGCATGGTCCAGTGGGATTTCTATTCACGATATCTTTACGGCGGCAGGCTGGGCCTCCCCCTCCACATTCGTGAGGTTTTATAACCTAGAAGTTCCCGCGTTGCAGGCTAAACTGTTATCAGTATAAGTGATGTGTGTGATCTGCCCATTATGCATGCGCAGGCTACCATCATATGTTTATTAGCTCACCTGGTTGAGCTGCACATAAAGGATTGGATGCCTACACACAGACCGTCATTCGCTCTGTGTGTTTTGCCTAATTCTTGTGCTTATGTACTGTGCTGGCCCGCGTTGCTGGCCACCTTAATTACAAACAAATATAGACCGGCAGCGCCGCTCTGTATTCTGTTATATTTTCAAGAGTGATTATTACATGTGTTGGCCCGCGTTGCTGGCCACCTGTTCTCGCTTGTATGTTCCCCGGGCTCCTGGGATGTATGCAGCGTATGCTTGGCGCGCACGGCGTTGACAAAGAGTTCCCGTAGCGTAAGTTACTTACACAATACGAGAGAACCTCTCGTAAGAGAACTTACTCGGTTACCTAACGCGTAACCTGCCGTGCTCGCGCCACAAGCTCACTCGCTTCATAGAAGAAAACCAGAGAATCAGCCTCTGAGCCTTCCCTTTATACACGTAGACCACACCCCTTTTGGCGGGCTGTGACGCGCGGAGGGCGCGAAGTGTCCTCATCGGGCGTGACGTCACGCCAGGCTCATGGATAGGCTGCTGCAGTTGCTGCGAGGCAGCCAATAAGCACGCTCCCTTAGCCTGCTTTGGTCTGCTGCCTGCTGCACTGCGTTGACAAAGTGTGAAAAATTAAGGATAATTTTTGGCTTCAGATCTCGAGAAAAGATAACTTTACCCATAGCGTAAGTTACTTACGCAATACTCGTTCCCTCTTCTAGAGTAAGTTTTAGTACTCGTGCTATACTGTCACACGACACACGACATGTATCTCCTTTTCCATGCAGTGTGTTGGTAGCAGACATCATTGGGTATAAGAAATAAAATAAAGAAATTAACAACATATTCAAGAGATGACGATTTGGGGGATTCTTAATTAAAAATTATATCTTTATAGCCTAAGGATAAAACTGTGGGTCACATAAAATATAACAACTTAAATCAACCCTAAAAGTATTCACAAAATAAATGGGAAGCGGTTTCTTTCACAATACTACCACAAAACAAATATTTTAAGTTTTGCGCTTGTGATAACGCGTCGTAGGTCACATGATAACGTCAACATGGCGGATGATGTCCGGATCGCATTCATACTCAACGAGATTTGGCTATAAAGTACCTACTCTTTTAGCGCTCGTTAAGTAACTAACTATTGAAATTAAGTACCTACTCATTGAGTATGCGGTTTCGAACGCAGCCTAGGAATAGGTTGCAAAGAGGAGAAAAGGCTCAAGTTCAGTAGTCTTTGTTTTATTACCAAAAAGATACACAGAAACAGGACAACTAACTCAAAAACGCAAAGTAGAACTGACACTAAAAAAAAACTAATCAAATGTGAAAAGGACAACTTAAACCATTTGATTGATTTGATTTGATTGATTTTATTTTATTTTATTTTATTTGTCCTCGAGAGGAAATTTGTTTCCACCATCGATGCGTACATGATACAGAAACACACATAACATACAAAACAACATAACATATAACATCTGCAAAAAAAAAAGGAGAGCATACCTGACGTATCACTGATTCCCTATGTATTTAGGGCTTGTATGTATACAGGAAAACAACTCTTACTGAACTTGGCTTTTCTACACATAGGTAACCTATACCTACGGCCCGAAGGCAGGAGAATAAAATATTTATACAGAGGGTGTTCTGGGTCATTTAGGCTTTTTTGTGCCTTGCTAGTGTCGAAACGCTCTTCGATAGATTAGGGGTAGGGATACCAATAATTTTACTTGCTAATTTAGTTATCTTTAAAAAAAAATTCTTATTGGTAACTGTAAGCATATGCACTCACCTAAAGGATTATTAGGAACACCTGTTCAATTTCTCATTAATGCAATTATCTAATCAACCAATCACATGGCAGTTGCTTCAATGCATTTAGGGGTGTGGTCCTGGTCAAGACAATCTCCTGAACTCCAAACTGAATGTCAGAATGGGAAAGAAAGGTGATTTAAGCAAGTTTGAGCGTGGCATGGTTGGTGGTGCCAGACGGGCCGGTCTGAGTATTTCACAATCTGCTCAGTTACTGGGATTTTCACGCACAACCATTTCTAGGGTTTACAAAGAATGCTGTGAAAAGGGAAAAACATCCAGTATGCGTCAGTCCTGTGGGCGAAAATGCCTTGTTGATGCTAGAGGTCAGAGGAGAATGGGCCGACTGATTCAAGCTGATAGAAGAGCAACTTTGACTGAAATAACCACTCGTTACAACCGAGGTATGCAGCAAAGTATTTGTGAAGCCACAACACGCACAACCTTGAGGCGGATGGGCTACAACAGCAGAAGACCCCACCGGGTACCACTCATCTCCACTACAAATAGGAAAAAGAGGCTACAATTTGCAAGAGCTCACCAAAATTGGACAGTTGAAGACTGGGAAAATGTTGCCTGGTCTGATGAGTCTCGATTTCTGTTGAGACATTCAGATGGTAGAGTCAGAATTTGGCGTAAACAGAATGAGAACATGGATCCATCATGCCTTGTTACCACTGTGCAGGCTGGTGGTGGTGGTGTAATGGTGTGGGGGATGTTTTCTTGGCACACTTTAGGCCCCTTAGTGCCAATTGGGTATCGTTTAAATGCCACGGCCTACCTGAGCATTGTTTCTGACCATGTCCATCCCTTTATGACCACCATGTACCCTTCCTCTGATGGCTACTTCCAGCAGGATAATGCACCATGTCACAAAGCTCGAATCATTTCAAATTGGTTTCTTGAACATGACAATGAGTTCACTGTACTAAAATGGCCCCCACAGTCACCAGATCTCAACCCAATAGAGCATCTTTGGGATGTGGTGGAACGGGAGCTTCGTGCCCTGGATGTGCATCCCACAAATCTCCATCAACTGCAACATGCTATCCTATCAATATGGGCCAACATTTCTTAAGAATGCTTTCAGCACCTTGTTGAATCAATGCCACGTAGAATTAAGGCAGTTCTGAAGGCGAAAGGGGGTCAAACACAGTATTAGTATGGTGTTCCTAATAATCCTTTAGGTGAGTTTAGAAAAAGCAAATGGCCCCATACGTAAGGACTGGCTCAATAATACTGCAATACAGAATCAGAAGTCGTGGCTGAACAGACAAATGCCTAAGTTTACGAATAGCTGTCAGTCTTTGTTGACAGCGTTTGTAAACTCCTAGAGTGTGCTGATTAAAATTGAGATTTCGGTCCAAAATAATGCCAAGATATTTAAAATGATCTACTCTCTCAACCATCTCTCCCTCAATGAAAATGCTAGAAGAATGAATCTGTGCTTTTGTGGTACCAAAGACCAATTCCTTAGTCTTTAAAATATTGAGGTGCAGAAAGTTATACTCACACCACGTTCTAAAATGTGCTGTAGAACGTTGATAGTCCAAGAAAGAGTCATTATCCTCGTTTAGCAGAGCAAGGATGGCGGTATCATCTGCATATTTAAAATAATGAGTTGTTGTAAATGAACTCTGACAGTCATTTGTATAGAGACTAAAAAGGAATGGGCTAAGTACGCACCCCTGGGGGGCGCCAGTATTAAAGACAATGGGTGGTGATAGTGCATTGCCCACTTTAACCACTTGAGGTCTATTAGAAAGAAAATTATGGATCCAATATATTAGAGATGATGGAACTTGCATTCTCTGTAGTTTCCTTATCACCTGGTGACGCTGAATCGAATTAAAGGCGGAACTAAAGTCAATAAAGAGAATTCTTTATTTGTAACTTGCCTAGGAGACTAACTGAAAGAAAGAACATACAACATCCATACAATTTTAAAACTGCTTCTTGATTCTGGTACCGTTATAGATTTGCTGCAGGAGTGAGTTTACAATCCTCTCAAATATTAAAAAATTAAATAATTTGAATATGCATTGTGCCATTTAAGCTAAAAAAAAAAATATTTATAGCTTTAGAAAGGCAAAACGTTTAGGGTAACAGGATTGACAATATCACACTTTAACTTCATGTAGTGTTCCTGTAGATTACGCTGGTCATTCCCAGGAAACGCATGAACGGATAAACAACGGAAGACAGTTAATATGAATGCTATACAAGTCACTTTAGACAATCTGCCACATGCACTAATGTAATGAACGATCTGATGTAAAGTGTTGAGCAAAACAATGTGAAACCACAAGGTTCTGTTTAGAAAAGTCTTTATTGCTGATATTTGACAGTTTCAGCAGAAGTTCAGGAGTCTTCAGAAGAATCACTAATCTACAAGAAAGCATAAGATAATAGGATGTAAATGTCCGGATCATCCGGTCAGGCTTTATTTTGTGATATGACCGACTGACTTTACAGGATTACATTACAAAACTGTTGCATGACATGGTTCATGTTAGCTTATGATGATCAATAATTAGCCTTTAAATTAATAATTTGATCTTGCTCTTCTTGTTGTCATCCTCCTACACCTGAAAGAATAAACAGATTTAGTTGATGTGCAGTGTGTGTCAGTCTGAGTTTGATTGCGATCACATCACCTTAATCACAGCAGAACATGATCACGTCATTGAGAGCGGTGTCGTCTCCTTCGCTTCCCTGTGACTCTTCTACACGGGTCTGTAAGCCGCAGATTCCTGTTCCTTCACATGTTGGACTCCAGTCGCCATAGTCACCCCAGTATGCACTCATACGTTCAATATAGTCCCAGTCACGTGGACCGTATTTGAGCCTGAAGAAAAAAAGAAAAAAAAAAGAACAACAATACTGTGATATGTAATTGTGCTGTCGGATTGACGGTCAGTCACATGATCTCCTGCAGCCGAATCACTGCAATCTGGAACAGCAGCACGACTGCGAGTGTGATATTAACTAAACTATTGATGGGGAAAACTGAGTCCTTAAAATAAAACCAGGATGGGTAAGAGATGGTGTGAGGTATACACTGGACTTATAGCACCACACACACACTCACTTGATGTTGTTTGCGGCCGTATCATCTCCAGATCCTTGCGGAGATTCAACTTGCAGCTGGAAAGCTGTAAAGTATCTAGAAGTATCAGATCTGCTAGTCGTATCAGATCTGCCAGTCCAGTCACCCCAGCTGAAGAAAACACACAAATAGGTTGTAGTTCAAATCAATTAGCATTCAAGAAAGTCCAATTGACTTATTTAGCTTAAACACTTAATGCAATAATTGTTAATAATCTGAGTCCATTACCCTCCTACGCTGGACTCAATGACAGACCGAAGGTTTCTGGATTGATCAACACAGAAAAGTCGAATCCCATTGAGCGCTGTATCATCACCACCAAAAATAAGTGGGTTTTCCACCTTAAAACAACAAGACAATCTTCCATTTGAAAGAGTAAACTCTTACCCAACACTTGGTAACATTTATCTTCATGCTCTTTAGTATTACATAGACACTTTCAAATCTTTAGTTTCCTGGAGAAACCTGGAATTAAATGACAAACAGCAACTCCACAGTTGTGAACCGTTGAATCACTCATCCACCCCCATATTAGCAAAATAGAGTCAATGCCCAACTTACCTTCAGCTGAAACCCTCCGGCGTAACTTCCACTTGGACAAAACTGCTTTTCCCCCCACGATCCCCACGGCCCTCCGTTCGTCACCTTCAGCTCAGATCTGTATGGTCGGTCAGACACACCGCTCACATGCCCAATAATGGCTGGCAGTGAAAACATCATGGAAAAGAAGTGATGCATTGCTACAGCACTGGCCTGAATACTGACAGTTAGATTAATTTTTAGTTAGACAATCTGCAGAGAACGATAAAGCAGAGACAGAACCATAACACTCTTAAGTTTATTAAGGAAGAAGCCTCATATTTATACACAAGATTAAGCAGAATCATTAACCATGATGTCCTTTCCATCCAATCATAGAACTCAAAGATCAACCCCTACCATATTTGGCATATTAAGAAATTAGGTTTTATTAACAAAGTTCGGGAGGAGCACGTTCAGATAATCAAACCTAATTAAACACATGTGGAGCACATTCAGTTAATCAACCCAATCAATGAGTTAAGAGGTATATACCCAGCAAACAAAACACGTATGTTAAAATACATAGTAATGGTAATTTGAGTAACGAGTTAAAGATACAGAGGGAGAAAACAATAAGAGAAAATTTAGAAGTAATACAGGATGATGGGGACATTAAAAGTGCCATAAATATGATGTGCGAATTGAATAATGTAATAAGAAAATCAGGAAAAACAACACCAGGGAATGATCAAATAAGTTATTGTATGATAAAAAAATTAAATGATAAGAGTAAAGAAATATTATTACAGTTATATAATAAGGTATGGGAAGTGGGGTGTTTGCCAAAACAGTGGAAAGAATCAACTATTGTCTCCATATGTAAACCTGGTAAGGATCCGAGTTTGGCAGAAAGTTATGATTGCTTTAACTTCACATGTAGGGAAAATTATGAAAAAAATTATAAATGAAAGATTAAAGTATTATTTAGAGACAAAGGAACTATTAAAGGATTACCAGAGCCGATTTAGAAAGGGACGGAGCACAATAGATCCGGATATATGTTTAGAGAGTGAAATTAGAAAAGCTCAAATTAATAAAGTCAGTATCTGTATTTTTTGATGTAGAGAAGGCATACGACATGTTGTGGTAAAGGACTAATGATTAAGATTTTTCAGATGAGAATAAGAGGGAGAATCCCGATGTCGGCGTTATGTGGGAAAAGGGAAGAAATATAGAATATATAATGAGGAAAATACTAGAGGCAATACACAAATCCGGCGAAACACGAAAGTAAAGCAGCGGCGCCATTAGTTGCTGCTAAGGAAGTAGCGGAAGTAGCGTGTTGGTCCCGTAGGCGGCTAGCAGATGTTAGCTGCACGAATTTGCAAAAGTTTCAGTACGTATGCTGTCTGAAATCGCATACTCTCTTGAGTAGGTACTTATTTTGAATTTGAGTAATTGCTTCAGGGCTGCTAAACAAGTATTTTCTATATAGAATCATATGCACACCATATCTCGCTGGTAGTAATAGGTCAGTACTTTTTTGCCTACTCTTTTATCAGTACTGTGATATTGGACGTATGGCTTTTGTCACATTCTGTTTTTCGTCTACTATATAGCAGGGAAGTATGCGATTTCGGACACAGCTTAGGTTTCTGATGAAAACATAAGCTGTGTCCCAATGTGAAGGCTGCATCCTCTGAAGGCCGCGGACTTCGAAGGATGCAGCCTATTCGTCCTTCGAAGGACGCACCTTGTAGCCTTCATAGGATTTCCTAATTGCGCATCCAGGTGTTCCCGATTACCGCTCCATGGCGCCAAGCAACGGTGCGAGACGGAGCTGCCATCCTGATCATTCATTTTTTATAATTGAGCAAACAGCTATGGAGCCAGAATTAGCTATTGTCATTTTTATGTTTTATATTTTACTGAAGATGTTTCACCTCCGGCGCCGCCGGGTCATGTATTTTCGGCTTAGCCAAAACCATGGCCAATAAGGAGGTTCAACCAACTCTGAGTTAAAACTTGACTGACTCGGAGTTAAGCGCGTGCATCACAACTATAAAAAGCCATTATCAATGGAGCGCAGATATTACGAGTCACCATGGCAACAGCGTCAGACAAAAAGAGGTCTGCATTTTTCTCAGCAGCAGAACTGGATGTGCAGAACACGCAGAACACGTATTTTAAAAAAAAGCAACACGGCAGCAGCGGCGATCGAGAGAGTTAGCTTGGGAGAAAATAGCTGCTCGAGTCAATGCGTAAGTTTACATTTTAATTACTTTTATACAGTGTTGGGTGTAATGAATTATAAAGTAATCTAAATACTGTAATTAAATTAAAGACTATAAAACAGTTCTGTATAAAACAATAGTGGTTTTAATATAACATTTTAAAAGGTATATTTTTTATGTAACTTTCTCCCTCTATTTACTCACTTTGGTAAATTCAAGAATAATTCATGCAATTGTATATTGTTTATTTGAAAGCATTAGAAGTGCAGTTTCTTGTCTCTCCTTATTGTTCAGGTGGTTGAGGTTGATTTGGGATTTAGAAAGTAATTAATAAGTAAGTAGAACAAATTAGTAAGTAGACCAATACTTTCTAGAGATAATAATTATTACATTAATCTAATTAGACTTGTTGGAGATGTAATTTGTAGTTAGTAATTAAGAACTACACTCACCTAAAGGATTATTAGGAACACCTGTTCAATTTCTCATTAATGCAATTATCTAATCAACTAATCACATGGCAGTTGCTTCAATGCATTTAGGGATGTGGTCCTGGTCAAGACAATCTCCTGAACTCCAAACTGAATGTCAGAATGGGAAAGAAAGGTGATTTAAGCAATTTTGAGCGTGGCATGGTTGTCGGTGCCAGACGGGCCGGTCTGAGTATTTCACAATCTGCTCAGTTACTGGGATTTTCACGCACAACCATTTCTAGGGTTTACAAAGAATGGTGTGAAAAGGGAAAAACATCCAGTATGCGGCAGTCCTGTGGGCGAAAATGCCTTGTTGATGCTAGAGGTCAGAGGAGAATGGGCCGACTGATTCAAGCTGATAGAAGAGCAACTTTGACTGAAATAACCACTCGTTACAACCGAGGTATGCAGCAAAGCATTTGTGAAGCCACAACACGCACAACCTTGAGGCGGATGGGCTACAACAGCAGAAGACCCCACCGGGTACCACTCATCTCCACTACAAATAGGAAAAAGAGACTACAATTTGCAAGAGCTCACCAAAATTGGACAGTTGAAGACTGGGAAAATGTTGCCTGGTCTGATGAGTCTCGATTTCTGTTGAGACATTCAGATGGTAGAGTCAGAATTTGGTGTAAACAGAATGAGAACATGGATCCATCATGCCTTGTTACCACTGTGCAGGCTGGTGGTGGTGGTGTAATGGTGTGGGGGATGTTTTCTTGGCACACTTTAGGCCCCTTAGTGCCAATTGGGCATCGTTTAAATGCCACGGCCTACCTGAGCATTGTTTCTGACCATGTCCATCCCTTTATGGCCACCATGTACCCATCCTCTGATGGCTACTTCCAGCAGGACAATGCAGCATGTCAAGTCACCTTTATTTATATAGCACTTTTTACAATACAGATTGTATCAAAGCGCTTCACAGTGATAACATGAAAATAATATAACAAAGTTTGTTTCTAAAAGAAAATTGAATCAACGTCCACCTTAAGTAAGGCAGATCAATAATATTATTGAATATTAAATGTCCCCAACTAAGCAAGCCAAAAGCCAAGGCAACAGTGGCAAGGAACCAAAACTCCATCAGGAGACAGAATGGAGAAAAAAACCTTGGGAGAAACCAGACTCAGTCGGGGGGCCAGTTCTCCTCTGGCCAACGAAGGAACAGTGCATGATTCGGGCAGCATTACAACCCAGGTGAAAAATAAATGTGTTAAGTATATTAAATCTTAGCATATTTGAGCATACTTAAAGCCAGACTAATCATCAGTATACTTCAAGTTTGTTAATGATTATTTAACTTGAAGCATGCTATTTTGGAACAACTAATTTTGTACTTAATATATTTTAGTTGTAATTTAATTGTAGAAAAGCACAATTTGAAGTGTACTTAGTGTACTTTTACGTGCTAAAATGGAACCACTTCAAGTATACTTTGTATACTTGAAGTGGTTGTGCACAGTATACTTTGTATACTTGAAGTATATCGCTGTATGTAATGATATACATGCTTGATTAATAAGCATTAAGTGTACCATATCTGTGTTAGAAGTACATTTAAAATGCACTTTGAATGTCTTACAAATATAAAAGCATTATACTTTTAAAATATTATTATTGTGATTATAGTATGCTCAGTTCTACTTTGGGTTTATTCAAATTAGAAACAAAGTACACTTTTTGGCTACTTATCAATATATGTTATTACTCTGTTACTTTTTGGTTAGCTATTGTAGGCTACCAGTATGAAGGCTGAATTAAATAAGGGACTACTCAACACACTTGCAGGTGAAAAAAGTACTTTATTGGTCATAGTTTGGGCATTCACAACGATAACAGGGAGGTGATTGAGTCCACTGTGTGGTGAATTTGTATGGTGGCAAATACTAACACAGTATTAATAGTACATTGCCAATACTAACACAGTATACAACACTAACACTAACATTATAAAAATAAAAATAAAGTACACTTTCTAGAAACTTATGGAAAGTATTAGGACAGAATAGTTTTAATTCAACGTCACAGTATTACTTAAGATAACGGACAGAAGAAGTCGCAAAAGAACTTATGGCCAGACATCAAAACTTGCAAACTGACAAGCCAAATTCAGTAAATAAAGTCGTGTTTATAAGAGTCCATTGATTAACATATGAAACAGTGCTCTTATGTATCCTTAAACCTGTCATGTTTAGATAAGGTGGGTGATATATGACTGTTTAACTAGCTTTATGGGGATGTAGGCATTTTAGAAAACAGCTAACTCACCAAACTAAAAGGGATTTATATTTTGTAAAGATTCCCTGTGACATCAGAATCGTTATGTCCACTGTTTTGGTGGCTGAAGCAAAAAAAAAAAAAAAAAAAACACTTTTGACACGTCTGACTTGAGGTAGAAATTGTGAAAATAAACAACAGTGAGGAACACCATAAAACATTATCAATCATTGCACCACTGCACTTGACAAACATACATACTACATATTACGTAGATTTTTTTGGT